GAAAAAAGTGACTTATGACTGTTTTTCACACTTATGACTATTGCAGCATCCCCTGGGATTTACATTCGGATGCTTATCAACTGCTCATATTTATGACAGTTGTATGTGATCCCCTTTTGCGATCTTCTGACAAGCAAAGTAATGGGGAAACCGGATTAATTTAAGAACCATGTTACTAATTTAACAAATTCACTTAACAAATGTGGCAAAAAAAAGTCATGAAATGGGGCAAAACTCACTTAACAAACTTTTCACTTAGCAACAGAAATTTTGGGGTCAATTGTGGTCATAAGTTGAGGACTACTTGTACTGCTGCTTTTATGATTTAAAGAGAGGTATTTCATGTAATAATTTTGCATTATCTATTTCACAGGATTTGTTGGCTTCCCAATTTAGATTCCAAGACATTGCTTCCAAGAGCCTACTTAGTTTTTTGACATTAATATAGCAATAGCACTTAAACTTATACACCACCCCATAGTGCTTTACAACACTCTTTGGATGGTTTACAATGCCAGCATATTGCCCCCAACATCTGGATCCCCATTTTATCAACCTCGGAAGGATGGAAGGATAAGTCCACCTTGAACCCTGTCAGGATCAAACCTCAAACTGTGGGCAGAGTTAGCCTGCAATATTGCATTCTAACAAATGCAATATATTGACAATATAAATATAAAACTGTTATATAAAACAGTTTATATAAGATGAAACTGTTATAATAAATAATATAAAACTACTTCTATAGTGATTTACATTACAAGCAATTCATTTAATGGCTGTTATATCCTTTCTTAATCGTTTATTAACAAGTCCATGAGAGGATTTTAATGTGATCCAATATGTTTTTGTGAATTCAAAGAAGAATGAAGTCTTGAATTTCCCTCTACTGATTAATGATACATTTTGTCTGAAATTCATCATTGTTATTTTTTTGTTTCCTTAAATTACTTCCACTTCTGATTTATACATAGTGATTGCAACCAAGGGTGGGATCCTACCAATTTAACAACCAGTTTGCTGAGCTTGTGTGTGCGCAGTTTACAGGGAAATCACCTTCTGCATTACTGCTGGGGAGGAAAACAACTGAGGCGCAGCAATCCACTCAGCCGCGCCTGTCAGCTGGGTTTCAGAGAAGGGAATATAGATGAGTATAGCGCGGGGGCAGGCAGCGGGGGGGGGGGGGGGGCCGAGCTGAAAGTCAGAGCAAACTGGTTAGGTCCCAGCTACCTGTTTCCCAGAACCGGTAGAATCCCACCCGATTGCAACATCTAAAATGTGTATAGCTTTACACAGGTAAATTGTCCAATTTGCTTGAAAATCAGCAAGATTATCAGATGTTGTACATTTCTAAGTCCAAGTTTCCATAAACATACAGTGATCAGAAAGCAGAAATTAATACACAAGTAAAAGTAATGGGTAAAAATATTACTTTATTTTTTTTATGAAATACAAATTATTTTGTTATATCTTTGTATCTTTAATAACTGAATAAAACATAGAAACAAAGCATCATTGGTCACATTTACCTGGAGGATAATGGAAGAACATATAGGCAAAATAATAAATAATTTAGAATCATAACAGGCATCCTCTTATTCTCAGAATTTTGGAATCACAAATACTTTTATTTAGTTAGCTAATTTATTACTGCAGAGAAACCATTCTTTCACGGTACAAATCATAAACTACTAATTCTGCTCTGGTACAATTTTATGGCAATCGATGCAGGCTAAGGTGGAAACTTAACGTATACTTTCTAGAGCAGTAGTTTCCGAATTTTTTTTGACTGCACAACTTTTCATAGTAAAAAAATGTTTATTTCTAATTTAAATACTATAAATGCTACTCTATTAATATATTATGCACCACATAAAATATATCCCAAAATAGAAACTAAAACATGATGAATTAGGTGAAATAAACAATAGTTTTATATTTTCATCCAACATCCCAAGGAATTGTCAGAGTGCAAACACACAACTTTGGAGACCACTGTTCTAATGAAAAGATAATTTCTTGCTTAATTCTTAAAGATAATGTAAACCATTGAAAAGCTATTCAAATATAAATTCAATTGGTGCTTTTATTAATTCCTCTTTCCTCCAACATAGGAGAGCTGTGTTAGTCTATAGTGGCAAAAAAAATAATATCAAAACTCTGTTAGCATCTTGTGCAGATAACAAATTTAATTGAAAGGCATAAGTTTGAAAGCTCATGAATGCCTTTTAATAAAATGTGTTGGAAAAGATGCTACCAATTTCCTGATCTTTGACTCAAAAAGAAGAGAATTGCCACAATAATACATATTTTCTAGAAATGTCATCCATGGATGTATGTGGACTGGAATTCTTGTAGCCTGTCCATGCAGTTATAGCAACCTCTTTTGAGAACCTAACAGAATCCTAAGATTTTTATGCATTATGCAAATTTCATTGGAAAAGTGTACACTTTTAAACTCTAATGCAGTTCTGCAGGAACAAGATTGTTAATCTTGTTATTACGATTACAGTAAATACATACACAAACTAATTCACATTTCATGGCAATTGTTGATTTAGAGTAATTTAAATGTGCCCTGTTTATAAACCATGTTTGTAAACATGGTTTATAAACAGAGTGCATTTACGTTACATTGCAATACATCCAGGAATCATACTTAAAATATTAGCACAGCAAATGAATCCTATCTGCAGATACCTAAGGAGTTGACTTACACAAGCCTCATAATAAGGCTCACTTCAGTGTGAGAAGTAACTAAAATTCTCTCTTTGAAGCTGCAATCTGATCTAGAAGCAGAATTCCTAATTCCATCGCCTACTTCCAATTTTCTGATCTGTGTCCCTTGTTTTGCAATGTCACAACCACCTCGGCAGAAGAGAGGCAGCTTAAGCAGTTCGGCTGTTTGCTATCCCCTTTCCATACTTTCCATTTAGAATTACAATCATCAGAGAAACAAATATTTTGGCTTCATCTTTTACGAAATATATATTATGCGGACAAGGGGCAATACTTTGCTGCCTTGGATTCGAAAGCCTGGTATAAATCAATTAGACAGTCTAAAGCAGAATCGATTATCTTCCGTTTGATCTCTTATATTTTTTAAAAAATTCTCGTAACACACTTAATCTATTTATTTATTTTTTTGCTTAGGGAGTTGGAAGAACGCAGTACGGTTTACAAACCGCAGTTTGTTCGGGAAACCACGATTGGGGAAGCGTTGCGAAAATACAGTTCTGAATGTTTCCCCCCCTACTTAAATCCTCCGTCTACTGTATTTGTTTCTTTGGCCCAGAAAAGCAGTTTTAGCATTCATTTCGGACTAATTAACGCCCCAGAAAATTAAATCCCCATAAAAACGTCGCTCAGACTACAGAGGACGGTCTCAGAGCCGAGCTAATAAAAGTCTGACGGTCGAATCGTTACAGACTACATTTCCCAGGACACACTGCGTCTTTTCCGGAACGAGTAGCTGGAGCATTTCCGGGTCAATCTAGCATGGCTTCTCTTGGAGTAACCGGCTGCTTTAGAAGCGGGAGGGCGGCTTTGTTGCTTCCAAGGTGCCTGCCAAGAGCCTCGTGGGGATGGAGGGGTTTTTGCGACGGCTCGGGTGCAGGTGAGTTTTGGCGGCGGCATCATGTAGTGGCCGACATTCTTAGGTGTGTAGGGAGTAGGGGAGAGAGAGTGCTCCGACGGGAGCAACCTCATTGAAAGGGTACGAATAAACTATGGTTGCGTTATGGACTTCAACTCCCAGAATTCTCCAGCCAGCAAGTCTTAAAGCTGTCAAGTTTGAAGACTTCTGCATTAGACCCTCGTCCTTTCCTCTCCGCTCTCAGTACTGGATTTCATGCACTGCCTGCTTCAGGCTGCGAGATCCAAAAGACCATTAAGTAGCAGCCAAGAAATACAGTGATTGCTCACTGTCCAGATTTTTGCAACCCCATCTGAGTTACTTAATTCAGGCACCAAGGACTCTTAAGCTATCGGCTTACTAGAAATCATCTGGAGCTGTCCTTCATGAGCAGCAAAAATTTGAATTGGGATGATGGCACAAAGCAAAAGAAAACGGGTCATCAGGATTTTGGCAGCTCAAATGTGAAAGTTCTAGGTTACAGGAATTGAAGCACACGACCCTTGGAAAGCGTCGGACTGGGGAAAGTGTTCATTTGCCAAGCTGAAATGATTTCTGCCAAGACCAATGTGCCTTAAAGCCTTATTCATCTCAATGGGATCAAGTTTTAGTTCATTGGGTTTATCCTTTTTGATCGCATTGCTAAGTTGGCAGTTCAACTGATACCAGTGGGAAATATTTTTCACTGTTTTCATTGGAACATCCGACTTTATGATAGTAGGATGTAAAAATGTAAAATCTTAACAGTGACGACAGGAAGCTGCTTACTCAGACTATTTTTATGCATCACAATGATATATACTATGTTAATGATATATTATGTTAAAGTGATTATTTTTTATGTGTGATCTCAGACCAAAAGAGAAGGCTTAACTGATATCTCGATTTAAAAAATGCTGTTTTGCTCAGCTGGACTTACTAATGTATAGTGCAAAAGGACAATAGTGCAAAAGGACAATAGACCTAAGGTCTAAAAAATGATCTTTCAGTATTAGAATTTTTATGAAATGTGTGTTTATGTATATGTGTTTGTATATATACACACACACATGCATGCTGTCATGATATCATGGTCATCTAGGCATCAGTATAATTCTGAACAATTTGCTCTTACAGTTCATGAGCCTGAAGTCAGGTCAGAATTTAGTTCTCTAAAATGTGTTTCTTTTGCTTTATAAGGAATTCTAGACTTACAGCAATTGGGGCCTGGATGTCTGCTGCTAAGCGAGGCCATTGTTAAGTAAATTGAATCTGATTTTATAACCTTTTTCCCACACTTAAGCAAATCACTGTGAATCATTGCAGTTAATCATTTAGTCATTAAGTGAATCTGCCTTCCTGCATTAACTTTGCTTGTTGGAAGCTGGCTGAGAAGGTTGCAAACGATGACCAAATGACTCTTGGATGCTGCCAAGTGCTTGAATTTTTTTTATCATATGATCATAGTGATGCTGTGACGGTTGTAAGACAGTTGTAAGAGCAAAGAACTATTGTAAGTCACGTTTTCCAATACTGTTGAACGGTTACTAAATGGTTGTAAATTGAGGACTACCTAAACCAAACTGGTGGTGTGCCTTCATCATGTGACGTATCATGACACACACACCCCTTCGCTAAACCAGGTGGCATGGCTAGTGCGTGACACATCTAGCCCATGGGCCACGAGTTTGACAGCCCTGACCTAGCAATCCTTTAAAGTAGGATAGTTATTCTGTGACTACAGGCCTATGGGTAACAACCAGGTATGGTATAGTGATTTATTTTATATTTTACTTTTTATAAATCTAAGCCATTTTTTATTCATGTCTCCTTAGATAGATTAAGTGGAAATTACTTTGTTAATGGTATCATGGACTCCAATACTTCTTTAATAAAGATTAAAAATCTGTATGAAATCCCTTTCATACTATTTATTCGTTGTGCAGAATTAATTTAAGAGCGTTGAAGTATGAAATCTTCATGCTTGGGCCCTTCATCTGTGAGGAAGGTGCAACTTCCAATCCAGCACCTGTTTGGGATTGACTGTTTTATATCCTTGAAATCACTTAGAACCACAATTTATATAGTGTCATCTGCAGGTGGATGGAAAAGTCTACCCCAATAGCTCTTCTATTGTCACTTTGATGGGGAAGATAAAAAACAGGTTATGCCAGGGTATACTATATATCTTCCAAGATGACACTAGAATGGGCCACAATGTGAAATAATGCATTTATTTTTCCTTTCTCGGGATTAGTGAGATGGAAAATACAAATTAAGCAATACACAGTGTCTGCATCTTGTCCTGCATTTCCAGAATGAACCTTGCAAGCCATGGATTTCTGTTTGTCCCCTATGGCTTCTTGCCTTTTATCCACGGTATGATATCTCTACTCATAAACAACCTATACTGGTAGTACAATTACTTTGTATTTATTTGTGCTCACCCCCTGTTGCATATAAGGTTTTAACCAACAGTTGATAAACATTTAAACATTTTTCCCCTTCATGATATAATTTAATATTTTGCTGTTGTGTTCTAGCATTTATGTATTTTGTGTGAACTGCTTGTTTTACAGAAGAAACCAAAACTGATATTCCAAAGCCTTGTTTCATGGATGAAAAAGTTCAGAACTTGCTCTCCAAGATGACAGGCCTGGATTTGCAGAAGATTTTCAAGGCAAGAAAACAAGAGCGTAAGCCTCCTGTATACAAGGTCATGACAGAATCCCAGCTGGAAGAGGTATTTCAACTGCTCTATGACCATAAATAGAAGATGTGTTGATTTGTTTCTGTGTAATTATTTACATGATTTTCTCCCCTTAGGCTTCAACACAAGCTGTTAAGAAGGCTAAAGAGTATCTGAAAATGCCTCCTGTACTGAATGAACGGGAACCAATCAATGATGTATTAGCTGAGGACAGGATAATTGATGGATCTGAGCCCTATAAATATGTATTTACTGATTTAACATATGACATCCCACACAGTGTAAGTCTTTTAGATATCCATGGTAATAACTCTGAAATGTAGAATGGCTTAATTCTATTTTCAGTTTTACTGATAGGCAGTGTTGTACAGAGAGCAGTACTTTAATAGCTTATTTTTAGGACTAATTTCAGTGACTGAGGCTTTTCATATCACTTATGGATTTATGAGAAATCAAAGTTTTTAAAAGCATGCCATTTTGTGACATTGCACACTGATAGCATTTAAGATTGAAAAGTATGGCTGAGCCATAAATTTAATCTGTGTTAGCTCTTTCTTTAGTTATTTTCTTTATTTTCCCAGACCTGAATTGCCTTTTATTTTTTCTTTGCAATATTCTAGAAGAAATCAAATTGATGCATAATGAACATTTAGAATTCATCTCTGCAGTATAAGACTCTATATGTCTCTTGTACAGTTAGCTTTAAAATAGACTACAAATAGTCCCGAATTATGACCAAAATTGAGCTTGTTTCTGTTGCTAAGCGAGATGTTTAATGGATTTTGTCCCACTTTACCACCTTTCTTGCCATAGTTGTTAATGAATCACTGCAGTTGTTAGTTACATGGTTGTTAAATGAATTGGGCTTCCCGATTGACTTTGTTTGTCAGAAGAACCCAAAATGTGATTACATGACCCTGGGACACTGCAACCCTCATAAATTTGAGTCAGTTGCCAAGCACCTGAATTTTGATCACATGACCATGGGGACGCTGCAATGGTCGTAATTGTGAAAAATGATCATAAGTCACTTTTTTCAGTGCCATTATAACTTTGGACAGCCACTAAATGAATTGTTGTAAATTGAAGAGTACCAGAGGTGGTATTCAGCAGGTTCTGACTAGTACTGCTGAACTGGTAGTGGAAAGTTTGAGTAGTTCGGAAAACCGGTAAATACTACCTCTGTCTGGCCCCACCCCATCTATTCTCTGCCTCCCGAGTCCCAGCTAATCAGGAGGGAATGGGGATTTTGCAGTAACCTTCCCCTGGAGTGGGAAGGAAATGGAGATTTTACAGTATCCTTCCCATGCCACGCCCACCAAGCCACGCCCACAGAACTGGTAGGAACCTTTTTTTTTGAATCCCACCACTGAGGAGTACCTGTATTAATGTTTGCAGAACAGATTGGAAATGGCTACTGAATTCTACATGAAATATCAGTGCCTAATTTTCCAATTTGTAACTATCTTGTTTCCCTGAAAATAAGATCTCCTCCGAAAATATTGCAACACAGCAGCAGCCATGAAGTGACCAACCTCGCCGCCTCCTGCATCTCAAAAATAATAAGACCTCCCTGAAGATAAGGCCAAGTGCTTATTTTGGGGATCAAAAGAAAATAAGACCCTGTCTTATTTTCAGGAAACATGGTACCTTATGTTTTTGTAAAAGCAAGAATAAGTTGTTATAAAAGAATTGAGGCAGAAAATTAGTGTCTAAATTTTCTCATTGAAATAATGGGAAATTATTTCAAGTGAGTCCTTTGCCTGGATATATCATTGATATAATTTTTTTATATATATATAAATATATGTTACCCATTCAAATAGCTGCTAGGAATTTCTCAAAAGCCAGTTGATATTTTAAATTTATATTAATTCCTGTCTACTTTAAAATTAAAAGAATTAATGGCACTGTGATAAAATTGTAGCTTACTTTTCTTTTTCAATTTCAGGAGCGATTCATTGTAGTTCGAGAAACAAATGGAGTATTACGCAAGGCCACTTGGGAGGAACGGGACAGAATGATACAGATCTACTTCCCAAAAGAAGGCCGTAGACTTGTTCCTTCGTTTATATTCAGCAATAAAAATGCTGCAATGGTAAATACAGGAAAATTAATTTTCTTCTCATAGTCTTTAGACTGACTTAGCTGGCTTATCAGATGCTTATTTGGGGACAATTGTCTAGCATTATCTTTTAAATTATTAGGCACCTAACTCCAGCTTGTTAAACTATAGTTTAGCATGTGAATATGAATACGGGAACATGTTCCGACTCAGTCTTATATACTTAACTGGATTAAAAATAAATTGAAATTGATTTAAAGTTTTGATTAGTAATTTGATATTAAACTACAGGTATGTAGTGCTAATACTGGAATACTAATGGTTCTCTGGTGGAACTAGGAAAGTTTACCTTCATTTGAACACTTGATTTACATACCTGAATCGCTTTTATCCTGGAATCTTAACTGCAGAACTGGGCTAAGCATTCTCACAACGGCTTTATGGAAAATTTAAACCAAAGTATTTGACATGAAATTCCATTTTTTATATTTGTACAATATTTCTTGTTTTAGGCTATGTTTCTTCAGGACCGTCACGAAGAATTCCTTGATCGCTGCCTCCTGCAGTTTGAGCCAGATTCAGCTGACTATGCTAGAGTGAGTTATTGCTCAGTGGAGAGGTGGAACTTGGGAACTGCTCACCAAAATACTGTAGAATAAGTGTTTGTGAACTCTTTAGCATTATTTGTAGTTGTAATAGATCTGAACTTCATTTAAACCTTATTAATAGATTAATTCTGTCTACACTATTATGTATTTTATTACTGTCCTGTCAGAGTCCAAGCAACTCCTGTAAATTTTAGACGGTATATAAACATTTGTGTTCATTTCGGGGTTTGGTTTACAGGGGAGGTATGCACATTAAGATTGTACTAAGAGGTGTGATGGCAAGCACTGGGGAATCCTGTGGTAGATTAGAAAACATGTAAGTGGCCTGCAATTCATTTGCTGTACCTGTGGTTATTAGTGACCTCCTGAAACATGCTTTGCAAATCACTGTCAGAAAGACACGAGTTCAATATTTTCAATAAGTGCATGATACAATATATTAATTTTGATGGCATTTGTTTAATCAGCTCATTCATGGACTAAGACGAAGGCACACATCATAAAATCCTGTAGGATTTTATGTATGTATGTATGTATGTATGTATGTATGTATATATGTTTAACAAAACTTTGCTAAACTTCTCTATTGTAGATTTCTGGAAATGTATTATGATTTGTAAATATGCTTAAATATCTGAACAGATTCATCAGGAGATATATGAGGATATTGATAAAAATGGAAAATACGATCTGCTCCGTTCAACAAGATATTTTGGTGGGATGGTCTGGTACTTTGTAAATAGGAAGAAAACAGAAGGATTGCTGCTGGATATGATCCAAAGAAATTTGTAAGTACTTTGGTAAGCCAATAATTCTGTATGAAAGGAATTCACTGAACTGTTTAACTTGGCAATATTGTATTAAAAATGAGCCATGTTTATTCATGTTATCTATTCAAATTGAAAGCTAAGCCGATTAGTACTTTTTGGAGGTTCCCCAAGAAATTCCACTGCTCAGTTTTTTCTTTGGTTGACATTGGCAGTTTCTTCTATGCAGCTGCTGAAAAACTGATTTCTGTATAATCCTTAGGAGTTGAATTTCAATTGAGAGCATATTTTTGTTTGTAGAAAAAATGTACTTCACAATTTTAGATTAGAATTTTATTGCTCTTTTTCTCTTGCTACTGTTACAAGTATTTCATAAATAATTATCTGATTTATGATGTGTCTTAGTTCTTGGCAAAAAAAATGTAGTGCTAAAATTTAAATATTAAGAATTGGATTTGAAATATAATTTTAGTTACAGAAAACTTTTTTGAACAAAGGTTTTATGTGCTACATAGTAGTGTCTTATTTAAATTCATCAGTATTTCTTTCACTATAAGCTATATAAACAACCTCCCACATTCTTAATTATCAGAATATTCAAATTAAATATATGAAACTAGTTGTTACAAATTAACATCTAAATTTCAGGTTTGAAGATGCTGTAAGTTTAATTACCCTTTACCATATGGTCCATCCTGATTGTGAATCAGCAAGAGAGGCACAAGAACAAGATATCCAAGGGATAGATTTAATTAAGGTATATATATACTTTTTATGAATGTAAAAAAGTTGACCATAGAAAAAGCATACATTAGCATCAGCTGGGAGTCATAACTTTGCATCTTCCTAGTGGCTGTTGGAAATAAATGCAGTTTATTCATATTCAGAATTTGTTTTAAAATTTTGTGTAATTCTTTTCAGGTCTATTAGCTATCAGTTCCTTATTAGAAGTTTAGCCACATAAATTCATCAATTGTGTTAGTATAAGAGTCCAGGATGTTATTTTCAAAATCATATTGGATATCTGATTATCATTTTTTTTTTACAGGCATTTGCAAAGGCAGAAACATCAAGAGCCAGCTACATTGAACTTATCCTACAGGCTTATGAAACACTTTCGCTGAAGTCTGCAGCTTCACAAAGTGACTAGATCAATAAAATCATTTAATGTCAATGTATGGAAAAGGAGGAAAAATGTAAATAAATCTCTAAAAGAACATTTTTATACCATGTATGATAAAAATAATTATTCCACAATTTCCTCAGTACGCCTATTTTTTCATCTTTCTTTTAAATCAATCTTATTCCTTTATACACCAGAGACTGAAGGAATCCAAAAGACATTTATTGGAAAATTGTTTGATCATGTGATATGAACTTGCTACTGTATCTAAGGAAGCCTACATCACAATGGGGAAATCTAGAACTGTACTGTAAAAGACTGTCCCTATTTATTTTTCATCTTAAAATATAAAAAAGAGCCACTTTTCAACAAGAAGACTACACTGTCAAGCATAACTAGATGTAAGAATGCGCATCAGTTTAAAAGTTCAGTCAGACATTTCTTCATCCAGAAAAATATCGGTGGTATCAATATCCTCCAATTCCAAGTTATCCAGATCTACATCTAGGTCCAGTAAAACCTAAAACAAGACATAAGTGTAAAAAAATCTAATATCTTATTAGAAAAACAAAAACAAAACAAAAACGACCATTTTGCAAGTTTTAATGATCACTTGAGTAGTGCAAATGGGTGTGGACCTTCTTGGCTGCAGGATGTTTTCTACCCTGTGTCACGACAGAAAAAATCATGTAGTCAAGAAGGTTCCAGAACACATCTGCATTACTCGGGTGTCCCTGAGGAAATAGATAAACCTCCAAGTTGCCTCAACAACTCTCCAAAGGAATGCAAATGGCAGCTGTCTTCAAGGAATATAAATCCTTCCATTCTCTACCACCCAGTCAGAGTTTAAGAAGCTTCTTAAATGAGAAGTCTTTAAAGAAAAAGAAAATTTAGTTGACTCCTGAAAAAGCACCTTTGGCACATAAGTGTTAACTTGTTAGAATAAGTATACAATCCTTATTCAACAAACAATAAGTTCTATAGTTAAAGTATATGGAAGGGATTGGGATTGTTATCACTCACAGAATCAATATTGGAATTAAATCAACAGTGCTGTAGTATAAACCTGCAGAACATGATAATAAGTATATAATCATGCCTGGGATACAAAAATTAATTCTTAATAAACTTTTAAGTTTTAATAAACTTAAAAGCCATTTTAATAAAAATATTTTGAACTACAATTACTGAAGCTTTTCACTATGTTGTATCAATGCTGAAATTCATTAACCACTTGACTTGGTTTGATATGATTAACCATATTCAAACACCATATTCAAATACCATGTTATTAACAATATTTATTTTTTAGGAACAAATTGGAAAACAAATGTATTTAAAATTTTTGTTTATCTTAATTCTCACTGCTCTTTGAAGGCAGTTAATTAGTATTTCAGAAAATAAGGGAAAAAACTGATGCATTAGTGTCCTAAGGGGGAAAAACTGCTGTATTAGTGTAGAGGGACAACTTGCATAAAAAAAGTTTACTGGCTTCCACTCAGTATTTACACTATGACTTGGTTCTGCATAGCTTACAAAACAGATTTAATTTTGACACTATCACACAGAAACTTGAAACAAGGAAATTACAGTAGTAGGATTAGAACTTCCAAAGTGCTAATTCCTTTCTAGTATAGTATGTTTACCTTTTCATCTTTGATGTCAAGTGAAATTTTTCCAGCAACTGGAGGTGTTATTACAGGCCTAGGAGATGGAACTGATTCATCTTCTGGTTCCTTATAAAGAGAAGAAAGCCCCACCATATAATGAAGAAATAATGTATACCATTCAATTTATTTATTTCATTGACATATCTTTTCTGGTTTTTAGGCCAGTACATTAACCACTATACCAAACTGGCTCAATGTTACGTCATCCAGCTACTTTGTTTCAATTGCACTCATCATCTAGATCCGTGTTTCTCAACCTTGGCAACTTTAAATCCTGGAATCCCCCAGCTAGCATGCAGGTTGGGGAATTCTGGGAGTTGAAGTTCACAGGACTTAAAGTCGCCAAGGTTGAGAAACACTGACCTAGATGCTTTTGAACCCATATGGGATGAACGCAGCATTGATTGTTTTTATTGATCACCACTACTGTGACTTGTATGGGGACGTTTTTTGCCTGGACCATCTGATAATCAAAAACACTGTCACAGCAGTTCTTTTCTAAGTAGATGGATCTAGTTGAAGCAAGATAAGAAATTGGTCTAGGGAAATTTCAGACTTTCTTCTCGTCCTCCAACTTTTGTTGGCTCTGTTGAATCTGTTAAAGTCAACTATTTATGAAAAGGGGCATTAGCTAGTACATTTATAGTCCAATATCAAGTACTTTATTTTTAAATATACAAAACATTCAAACTAGCCAGAAGATGCTGTTTTTCATTAATAACATTCATGGTGTGAAATAGATTTTATACTGAGTTTAGCTCCTTTAGCCTCCTTTTTATGGCTTCCAAAAGTTTATTAAAAGCTGAATTTTTCCAGAGAGCAATAATTATTTTTCCTATACCAGAGCCTTTAAAATCTTCACATTAAGTCGTAAATGTTGAACTATGAATTCTCATTTTAAATACCTAGTTGATATAAATAGACAAGATATTTCAAACTAAAACAATTCTGAAGAAAATAAATGAAGAATGCACACTTGCCAATCAAATACAATCTACTGCTTTCTACAATGCTATATAAATGGAATCATCTGTATAAATCCATAAAAATAATATGCTTTGAAATGCTATAACCAATTTATTTGTACCAGGGATTGGCATTATTTTCTGCAGAGTGATGAAATCTTGGGGTCCATACCAAAAAGGGTGAGACATGAAAATATGTATTCAAATATACATATTTTTCCATATTTTTTTCTCTAACAATTTTTTTCCTACTGTAAAAACCATAATGAGCACTTATCAGAAATCTGAAGTGCATAACTACAAAATGATTTGGAAACCATGCAAAGCTTCACAAAAATATTTATCTTAAAAGCTTATCTTTGGGTAGGGGTATTTGTCCAGCCCTTCTTTCCTGTGATATACTCAAATGTATTAATACTGACCTCTGATATTTTGTTTTGCAGTGTGAAATCTTTGGCTTCTTCCAAGATATTTCTTTCTTCATTTGGCTAACAACAACAAAAAGGAAATAATGCATAAGCAGAACTTCACTAGCTCTCAAGATTGCTAAATTCTAAAACTGTTGGTTTCTTGCATCAACTTACAGTAACGAGAGGGTATTCACTGGCTGGCCGCGATGTAGTTTGGGAATTTTTTATGTATTCTTCAGCAACAAATGCTTCCTTCAATCCAGGGAACAAATTTTCATACTCTGTGGGATCCGCTAGGGATTCAGCAGCTTTCTGATTGACTTTAGAAAGATTTTCTCTCCATAGTTTTACAACCCTGAAACAGATTACCATTGCAAGAAGCTCAGTTGTGAACAAAATATTTATACTACGTAACATAGATTTCATAGTTCAGTTACCTTGAAACTTGACTTGGCAAATATGTTCGTGCTAAGAAAGCTGCTTCTGGTAATCGTCCAGTTTTAATCAAAAGTTCAAGACAACTGTCAAGCCTATAATGAAACAGAACTTTTTAAAAAATGAACTTAAATTAGTAATATAACAGAAGTATGAAAAGAAAAGTGTGTCTACAATATTTCTATAATGCTGCAAAACTCTGTGATACCTTCAAAACAAACCTATTTACTATTGTTTCAATATTCAATATGGGTTCATGACATTGGCAATGTTACCTGCCTGTATTATTTCCAATTCCTTTCCTGGCACAATTTAAAATGCAAGTTTAATTTATTAAGTAGTTTAGGCTTTGGCACCTTGATACTTGTAGCACAGCCACCTATAATCTGAATAAGCCTGATCTACTAGTGGTCAGGGCAGAAAGAAACTCCAGATCTAACACTTCTAAGAAATGAGAAGAGCTGAGCATTGAGTAGATCAGTGTTTCTTAATATGTGGGCCTAGGAATTCTAGGAGTTCCCCATGATTTTAGTGGATTTAGTGATCCACTAAAACAATCTGCCAGTCTGTGTAGGAAAAATAATACAATATTACATTACCTTCAAATGACTTGGAACTGTATCAATTTAATTTTTAACATGGTAAATTATCAATAAATATAACTTGGACAACATAGAATCCTCCATAATTTTTAAAAGGGGTAGGAGGTCCTGAGTGAAAACGTTTAAGAAACACTGGACTAGAAGTCGCTGCTTCTCTGTGGCAACTTTGATGTTGTGGAATGATCTCCGGGCAAAGATCAGATTCTGCTAAAGTCTAAAGTTAAAGAAAAGGTAGTTCTTGTGTGTATAAAATCTACCCACCCAGATTTGGAAACTATAGAAATTGAAGAATATGGGTCAAAGGAAACAAAAATAAATAAAGATGCTGGCCAAGTTAAAAGACAAATACATGATTACATTGATATTTTGTGTCAGGTTTTCCCAAACTTTAAATAGTCATGGGGTTACATTGTTTCAGTATTTATTGACTGAGTTGTCCGCTTATTCATGTGCCAAAGTAAGGTCTTCTAATGTGATGAACACCCAATTGCCAGTCATTAAAAAGAGCTGTCTTAATGTTTTCACCCTTTCCCCAGAAAACCAGGACTCTGGTTGCAGCTATATAGTCAGAGGGGAATAAAGAGAGATTTTTATGTATTTTCTAAATAAACATGTTTATTTTTTGAGGATACTTGAGAAATGCTATAAAATATGACATAATGTTTGATACTTACTCTCCTTGTAGAAAGTAGCTCATAAATGCTACATTGTTCTTGCCATCTTTTTCTGCTGCTTCAGCTAACTTGTTTACCATACTAGTATTTCCTGAAGCTGTGGCTAAAAGCAATAAGCCACCATAGTCTTGTGCATGATGCAGACATTCTTGGGCAAGGCTAAATTGGCACTTATTGATAGCAAGTTCAGCTAGCTGCTTCCACTTCTGTTCAGACTATAAAAACAAAAATTTTAATGTTTTGAGCATCAAACATGCTAAATGGTTTTGAAGATCATTTGGTTGTAGTAGGGCTAATTTTTTATTTCCTTTTTACAGAAAAAAATATCATGCAACTGATTATCATATCAATGCTATATGCCTTTTCCAAAGAGCAATATGTGTTGAATTTATAGAAAGTTATTCCTAGACAATTCAACGTTCAGATTATGGTCACTAAACCATGAACTTTCAGTAAGAATTTATGAAGATTTTGGACCATTTCCAATCTCAGAAGAATCAACTGAATCATTCATAATTTTTCAAGATAAGTATGTGTTCTTTTTAAACGAATCAGAAAAATGTGTCTTACTATTCCTTCAGTATAGTGTAACTGACCCTTCATGCTTTATCAATAATTTGGATACGAATGGTTTTTAAATTCAATCTTGACAAAGATACCTGGAATTCATTCTATTCCCAGGCACTCAAAGTTCTATTTCTTTTACACAAGTCAGATCTGGTACTG